GAGTCGGAGTAAGAAGTCCTCCAGCTTGCCAGTATTTCAAAATAATGGCTGGCTGTGCAGACGTGCGCTTTGTTATTTCAGAATAACACTGCAGTGTGGACATACCCATAGGAAGTGACAGGAGACAACTGCAGGCAAGTCTAAGGACTCATGATTAAAAGACAATTGCATTGTAATGCCGACCAACAGGAGAGGAGAAACTCTGAACCTTATCCATGCAGGAGGCTAGAGATGAACTAAATGCCATGGCCAGTCAGCGCAATGGCCGGGCATCAGCAAGGATGTCAAAAATAGAGTCAAACAGAGCTCCTGCATGGGCCCTTGCAGAACGAAGAGCCCAGCAGCGCACAACGAACTGGTAATCTCTCTTCTGGACAGACCTCGGCAGAGACTAGTTGCAGCTTTATGCAGACTCAGAGGACATCACTACCTGATTGCCATAGACTATTTTTCCAGGTACATGGAAATAATGTACTTACAAGCTGTAACGCTGCAGACCTATTGAGAGTTAAACTGCACTTTCCCTGACCTCAGGATTTCAAAGCACAAATCACTTACCACAATTCACTAGCGAAGTTTAAATAATGTTGATCATATTACTAGCAACCCACACGTGAATCACAGCAACGGAATCCTAGAGCACTAGCACTGGAAGGGCCCGCGAGAGACCTCGAGTCCCATCCCTGCCCTCGCAGCAGGGCCAGGGGTTTTCAAACTCGGGTGGGAATTTGCAAGGGCAAGCGCCCAGCTGGCTGAGACACGTTTTATTTACCTGCTGCGACTGTAGCTCTTGTTGGCCATGGACCGCTGTTCCCGGCCAATGGGAGGTGCGAGAAGTGGTGTGGACTAGAATGCGTGGAGGACAGGGAATGAATTGGGGCCTTGGCAATGAATGGGTCAACGAGTAACCAGCTGGCAGGGGAGGGATAGAAAGTCTAGATCATGCCAGGCGGGTGTGAGACTCCGCCTCAGTGGTGACATTCAAAGTGTAACTTGCCTTATTTACACACACACTCAAGTCCTGGAGCAGAGGCTGTGGCATGGCACGGAGGACTGGCCCTTTTCTCAGCCCAACACTTCTGCTTTTTAGGGACTAATTCCGCCTCAAGAAGCCAGTGCAGAGTTCTCTCTGCCCAGAATCTAGGAGTAACAACATCACAGCAACTGACCCTTCACTCGAATGCTGCAAAAACAACTTGTCTGACTGTTTCAGGGAGAAGCCTGCTTTGGGGACCTGGGGTTGACACGCTGGGTTCTAAGAAATAAAGTATTACCTTGTGCAACTCTCCAGCAACAGAATGCTCCCGTCTCCATCTGTTCGTAACAGGGCACTCCCAGAACACAGCAGTAGGAGACTAAGAAAATTATTTTCTTTGCCCCTGCAGCATCCTAGAGTCTAAACCCAATTGAGAAGTGATTAGCAGCCTCTGCCCTGCACTGGGCAGAGGATTTTACACTATCGACCTGGCTGGCAGCAGTGGCAACCCCCCCTAATTCCAGGCAGTTCTGTCCCATCGCCTGGGTGGACAACAGGGGTTATGAGTCTGCTATAGGCTTTACGCCTGTGAGCTTGTGATGCAGCAGCTCAGACCTCCTGCTGACACTCCCACTGGGGTGAATTGGAGATAGCCCCTGCCCCAAAAAGCCAGCAGCCCAATCAGACGGATGGACAAGGAGCCAGGCAAAAAGTTACAGTTCTGATTGTGCCAGGCTGCCATCAGTGCCCAGGGCTGTGAGAGCTTCCGGGCTCAGCATCTCTAGCTGGCTGGGGCACCTCTAGCAGATGGAGACAGGAGCATATTGTTGCTGGCAGATTGCATCTGTTAACACTTTATTATTAGAATACAGCACGATAGTGCCCAAGAGAGACCAGAGAGACACAAAACTGGCTGCTCCCCAAACAGGCAGACAAGTTGATCAGCTCTCCCTGCTGAAACTGGCCCTGTGAAGGTGACTCCCTCCCTCTGGAGAAGCTGCCGCCTTCTGACTCACTCGGAAGAGAGATGACAGTCTGAACTCAAATCTAGCACGTGGTTTGCTGGGCGGGTGCACCGGGCCGTTCCCCAAGCCATGTGCCACCAGAGGGACAGAGATGTGTCCTTCTCTCCCTGCCCACGGCTTGATACACAGCACTCGCATGCACATAGAAGATGGGCTGGCATAGAAATCAACTTACTTCCATAGCTGCAAGCCTGAGGTTGGACCCCAACATGCTGGGTTAGAAGCCAGATTGAAACACATTAAGCTGAGCCACTCACCGGTTTACGGAAAGCCATTTACAGCTCGTGTTTCCCAGAAACCACCGGGGCTTGGAACTTCCAGTTGAAATGAACCCTGAGATTTTCACACACTCAGGAGCTGGGGCTTTCAGAAAAACATCAAAACTACAAGACTGTGCAACCCAGAGGGTCCATCAGCATGAGACTGCGGCTCAGTTCCCGACCGCTGTCAGCCCGCCCTCTGAGTGCACTGTGCAAGGGCGCCAGTACAGTGCTGCCTGTTTTCTAGGAGGGAACCGGTGCTGGCGGTGGTCTTGGCAGCAGAGATGGAGGCTCTCGCAACCCCTGTAGGTGTGCTCAAGGGCAAGGGAGTAAAATCCTAAATGGTCAGGCAGCACCCTGAATAACTAAGCTACTGCACCCTGAATAACCAAGCCCAAAGACAGGCCTTGCTCTGACCAGGACCAATCAAGGGGCCATTTGTACCCTAAATTAAAAAACACAGTAAGAGAACCAGAAATGTGCCACTGTGGCTGAACAACCAAGTCAAAGAAGCAGCTAGAGATAAAACGGCATCATTTAAAAAGTGGAAGTTAAATCCCAGTGAGGAAAATAGAAAGGAGCATAACTCTGCCCAGTGAAGTGTAAAAGGATCATTAGGAAGGTCAAAACGGAATCTGAGAACAGCCTCCCAAAACCAGGAAGATTTCACTTGTCACCACTTAAATCCCACTGTTTGTACTTATTGTTGGTTACTATCAGGCCCGGTGTAAATAATTGTTAGCTGGGGGAAGCGACCAGTGTGTGTGTCTCTTTCATTGATACCGGGGGTGAACATCCTCCTAAGCTTTCCCCGTGTACAACTTTTACATGGAGAAAGATGGATTTATTTGTGGTTTTGATCCCTTTTGGGTTTCCTGGATTATGTGCCCTAGAACTGAACTGAACTGAAACGTTTCAGTGTCGGCATCGATCACATGCACTCTGAATGCAAAGCCTTAGCCTTGGCATCGTGTTTCTGTGGTGAACTGGCCCATGCAGCTCTGTGACTGGCCCTCCAAGGCTCGTTGGACCTGTGTACGGTGGCGTCAGCTGTGGGAGGAATTGACAATGATTTTAAATCTCTTCTGCAAGGACCGTGAGAGCAGTTCCTGAGTCAGTGGCCTCTCTGTGCATATTCTGATCCACCCACTCTGGCGACTCTTCTCATCCTGGTGGAGTATTGCAGTCAGGGAGAGTGCTTGGAGGTCGATTTATCACGTCTCAGTAGACATCATAAATCAACCGCTGGTGGATCGATTACTGTGGCGTCGATCCAGTGTCTAGTGTAGACAAGCCCTCAGGACAGGTTGTGGAATCCCGTTAACCGGAGATTTTTTGAAAGCAAGTTGGACAAACACCTGTGAGGGATGGTCCAGGTTATTTGCACAGCTCGCACATGGCAGCGTGAACGTTTTCTTGCGCAAGACTTCATGCAAGATGTTCTTGCGCAAGAAGCCATGAGTGTAGACATAGCCCTAGGGCATATCTACACAGCAACTAGATACACGGCATCAGCCTGGGCCAGCTAACTTGGGCTCGGGCCAGGCCAGACAGCAACTCCAGGCCCCAGGACAAACAGTCAATGGGTCCCCATGCACAAGCCACGTTTCCCCTGGTATCTGGGCTGGTGTCCATGAGCTGCTGGCTGCACCGCTGGGCATATTCTTCTGGCACAGCCACGGCTTCCATATGCCCCACCCACCCAGTAATTGCGCAAACTCCAGGGCCTTTCCCAGCCAATGGGAGCTGCAGGGCTGGTGCTCAGGGCAGGAGCAGTGCACGGAGATCACCTCCCCGCCCCAAGGGCAGCAGGGATGTGGTGCCAGCTGTTTCTGGGAGCAGCACAGAGTGAGGGTGGGGGAAGCCTGCCGTAGCCCTGCTGCACTGCAGCAGCTGGGGTCCACAGGCCGTTTTAAATCACCTGGGCCCCTGGGCAATTGCGCCCTATGCCCCATCCCCCATCAGCAGGCTTGCTCATGGGGCTCAGGCTCTGTCTACCCAGCAACCCCACCCCCCTGCAGACCCAGCTCCGTGAGCTGGAACCGGCCAGTAGATCTAGCTGCTGGATGGACATACCCCCCGTGAACAATCCCTGCCCAGGGCCACACGCCTCGGTGCCCCCTGCTGAGCTGCTGCCTCTCGTGCCCCTGCACAGCTCAGCCTGCATTTTGGGCAAAGCCAGAACTAACCAATAGTGGGTTGAGGCTAGGGGCTCATTTGTGGTGCAAGAACCACAGTGAGCACAACCCATTGCCGATGGGGGTGATTCCACAGCAACACCATCCAAGTCCACCTGTCCTCAGTGCTGGAGCCAGCGAGACAGAGGGACTCCCCATTCCATTACTGGCCTAGGCAGCGTGGGACTGGTTGTGTCCCTCTGCTAGGCAGAGTCCATTTTAAAAAACAAAAAGGACTCCACTGGTCAGAGCGGGCCCCCCCCCCAGCCAGTCAAGTGCGCACATTCCCTGGGTGGAGTGCGGGAGACCCCGGCAGGGCACAGCTGGGAGGCCTAGGACGAGGGGCCCTGTCCGCTATTGGAACGATAATGACGCCTGGGCCAGACACTGGGCTCCATTTAGCTCACCAAAGAGACACTCGAGAGGAAGAGGCAGAACAAGCCGCTTTCATTACGAAGCAGCAAAAGGCTCTGCTGCTTGGGGAGGGAGGAGAACTAGAAAACCCAGGGCACAATGCCCCTTTGATTGCTCCTGGGAAGCGATCCTCGGCCCACACAAGTCACAGCCTTGCAAGACTCAGCACTCTTTATTGAAGGAGGCCACAGAAGGATGGAGTCACATGAGAACATCTCCGCTGAACCTCCATTTATCAAGCACCAGTTTGGATTCGGTGCCAGCAACCCGCCTCCAAGCTCTGCAGCTGCCGCCCCGATGAGAGGCCAGGTGTGCAGCCCTTTAGTCATACAAAGCAGGCAGGTGAATCACACCCGCTGCACTCACTTTTAGCAGTAAACGACCCGGGGTGGCTATGCTGATTCTGCACCTTGCTGGCTCTTTGCTGGGCCTACAGGAGGTAATGCCAACTGCTTCTGCCCATCCCTCTTGTCCCTGCTCAGTATTCTACAGCTCTGCCCCCACAGCCAACTCCTCTGCCCCGCTGAGTACAGCTCATGTGACATGCCCGGCTCTCGGGGGATTCAAACACCAAGACTCCCCCTGCAAAGCAGCAGGGGCACCGTGTGTACCACCACGGGAACCTTGCCTCTGCTGCAGCCAGATCTGCAAACCTTCCTGGCTGGGGCTGATATGGCCCAGCCTTGCAGGGCTCTGTGGAAGGTGCAAGTCTGGTTGCATTTGGTTTGGTAAAGTGCATGACACTGCATCAGCAGGAGCTTATTGGGGCTACCTAGTAAGAGAGCAGCTGAGCCCTGTGTGCCTTGCAGGGAAGAGGGGAGGCAGCCTTTGGCTTACTACAGATGCAGGCACCTCTGCTTGCCCACCTGGGTCTCTGCCAGGAAGCACGAGGGAACGGGGAGGTAAGAGGCCAGCCTCCTCCAACCAAGATTTCAAAAGGAACCAACAGCAGCTGCTAGTGTCTTAAAATTGGTCACACTTACACCTACTGCAGGCGCCTCGGCATACAGCCAGGCTCTGCCCAGGGCAGCCACGGGCAGGTCACGTCAAAGACTGGCAGTGGCAGCACATCTGAGAAGGAGCCATCACAGAGTGTCCTCACAGCTCCTGCAGCACACTGCAGGGTGGGGCGGGTTCAGCCATGGCACGGGGGCAAGTGAGAGGCACAGGAGCTCTTGGATGGAATTCTTAGAGGATCTGCTCTGTGCTTGAAGCAGAAATGTCCAATAACCTCCAGGCTGCATAGGGGTTGAGTTCATCCTGGTCTCTGCAGAGCGCCCATACGTACAGCATCCGCAGAACTTTGTCCTGGAATGGAAATCACCCATTAGAACTGAAACTGCATATTGCAGAGCACACGGCACCACTGTGCCCTGCCCTCCCAGAGCACATGGCACTGCTATGCCCCGCCCCCCCAAGCGCACGGTACCGCTGTGCCCCACCCCCCCCAGAGCACACAGCACTGCTGGGCCCCGCGGCCCCAGAGCACAGGGCACCGCTGTGCCCCGTCCCCCCCAGAGCACACAGCACTGCTGGGCCCCGCGGCCCCAGAGCACAGGGCACCGCTGTGCCCCGTCCCCCCCAGAGCACACAGCACTGCTGGGCCCCGCGGCCCCAGAGCACAGGGCACCGCTGTGCCCCGTCCCCCCCAGAGCACACAGCACTGCTGGGCCCCGCGGCCCCAGAGCACAGGGCACCGCTGTGCCCCGTCCCCCCCAGAGCACACAGCACTGCTGGGCCCCGCGGCCCCAGAGCACAGGGCACCGCTGTGCCCCGTCCCCCCCAGAGCACACAGCACTGCTGGGCCCCGCGGCCCCAGAGCACAGGGCACCGCTGTGCCCCGTCCCCCCCAGAGCACACAGCACTGCTGGGCCCCGCGGCCCCAGAGCACAGGGCACCGCTGTGCCCCAACCCCCCCAGAGCACACAGCACTGCTGTGCCCCGCGGCCCCAGAGCACAGGGCACCGGCCCCAGAGCACAGGGCACCACTGTGCCCCGACCCCCCCAGAGCACACAGCACTGCTGTGCCCCGCGGCCCCAGAGCACAGGGCACCGCTGTGCCCCACCCCCCCAGAGCACATGGCACTGCTGTGCCCCGTGGCCCCAGAGCACAGGGCACCACTGTGCCCCGACCCCCCCAGAGCACACAGCACTGCTGTGCCCCGCGGCCCCAGAGCACAGGGCACCGCTGTGCCCCACCCCCCCAGAGCACATGGCACTGCTGTGCCCCGTGGCCCCAGAGCACAGGGCACCACTGTGCCCCGACCCCCCCAGAGCACACAGCACTGCTGTGCCCCGCGGCCCCAGAGCACAGGGCACTGCTGTGCCCTGCCCTCCCCCCGAGAACACGGCACCGCTTTGCTCTAGTTGCTCCCCCTCCCCAGCCCTCAGAGAGCACACAGCACCGCTGTGAACTAGTCACTTCCCTGCCCCGCCCTGCTCCTCACAGTGAACATGGCAGTCCTGCCAACTATGAGCCCTCCCCAGAGACGATGCAGGTTAAGAATCTGTCACACATGCAACAACACAACCAGTACTGAACTAGGAAAAACACACAGGCTGAATTTTCCCTGTTTAACTTTTGACTCCTAGGCTGTGTCTACACTGGCATGATCTGTACATGCCAGTGTAGATGCTCTCTTCTGGAAGAGTTTTTGCAGAAGAACTCTTCTGCAAAAGAGTTTTTGCGTGAGAATGCGCCAGTGTAGACATAGCCATAGAGTTGTGATCAGCGCTCCCTGTAAGCTGAGCACTTGTGCGGCCACTCAGGAGATTAAAAAGCCGCCCAGCTGATTAGCAGAGGACCCACAGTTAGGTTTTTTGTTTCTGCTGGTGGTGCACATTCATACATGCCTCCGTTCACATAAAATTATTCTGCACATGAAGGAAAAGATTAGAAGGAAAATTTGTTGTGATGCTTGAAAATTTGAGCCAGGCAGTTATTTGAGTTACATGGCAATCAGAAAACACGCCCCTTTTCCTGGTCTGACAGCCACCTGAAGCTGAGAGTATCTGAATGTGGCCTTGTGTGCATACAAACACCTAAGTGTACTATCACCAACGGCCTCGGGCTGCTTGGTGCTCTTTGGGAAGCATGTCTGCACAGCTCTGCTGTCATTTTTAGCTTTTTCTCTTTTACTCACTTCTCCCTTGCCCTGCCCTTCCATCTCTCCTTAGTCCTAGGCTTAAAGAACTTGCAAATTTTGCAACTGTCACTGAGAGTTTCACTGAACAACGCAGAAAGCTCCTATGCGGGTCACTGAGCGGCACAGATCATTTGCACACATCACAAGGCTTAAATGCCAAGGATCAGGCATGAAGTCCCTAAGGGGACCAGCTAGTTTAACTATACTATGGGTAAACTAACTACAAAGACTGACAATGGGGAAAAGCCAACAGCCAAGGCTGGAGCAGAGCTGTTCTGATACACCATCCCTGGAAGCAAGAAGGAACTAAGGATCGGAGGAGTGCGCAGCACCCTTTGTACTGCTCCAAAAGCCGTTAGAGGTGGTCTCCTGTGGGTACTGCCAGCGGAAAACTTCCAGCACCGGGACACGTGGCAAGCATGTGCACTTCTTGTGGAATGGACATAAGAAAGCACTTGGAGAACAAAATGCTCTGGTTGTTCTTTCAAAAGTTACAACTGAACATTGACTTAAAACAGCTTTTAAACTTTATTATGCAGAAGAAAAATGCTACTTTCCTTGTTAGTAGTTTACACTTAACACAGTACTGTACTTTATTTGCTTTTTTTCATCTCTGCCGTTGCCTGATAGCATACTTCTGGCTCCAAATGAGGCATGTGGTTAACTGGTGTGGTTGTAATGCTGAGGCTCATAACATGGGGGTTCTACTGAAGATGTCCATGCCATTAAGCATATAAACATATAAGAGAGGTAAAGGGGCCGAGTTAATTTCACTGAAAACATTATTTGCATTTTCTCGGTATTTGTGACTTTCAAGCACCAGTTAATTACATTCTGTAATGAAAGAGGCAAATCATGAAAGGAGAAAATTGGCACCAAATCTGTGATCTAGCTGGAGAGATTTAGGGACGTGAAAAGTAGGGTGTTCTACTGGAAGTGTGACAGATGACAGGGATTTTATGACATCAAAGTACAGGACTGACCAGGGAAGATGGCTTTCTTGCTGGGGAACGAGACATCACAGAATAAAGAAAACAGCACATCACCTGCATTGTGGGAGTTCTGCGTGACTGATCATGCATTTTTATTAACAGAGATACATCCCAATCGTGGATATACAGTACATGTTACTGCTTATATTCAAAGAAACTGGCACTGCAAACAGCTGTGGACACCCCGAAGTGGATTTTTAAGTTGTACTTCTGCATTTAAGATTAAAACTTGTGGGATGCAGCGACAGGCACAGCATCCTGTTCTATAAACTCAGGATTCATTTTAATGAGAATTCCTGGACCTTTCAAAAGTGCTTTTCTGGACAGTTAAATACCTATTTCCCAAGATCAACTGTGCAAAACTCAGCTGCTCCTTTTTTGATGCTGCTGCTCCTGGAACATCTGACAATCATTTCATATGCTCCTAGCCCTCCCAGGCATTCCTTGGAGGGTAAGTTTGCAACACTGTAGTGGGATCTAAAACGAATGCAAAGGCGGCAATACTGCAGCAGGGACAAGCACATGACTTCTAGTCAGAGAGTTTACAATGAGGTTCCCTTTTACCTAGACGATGACTTGCTCCAAGGTAGGCAGGCAGAAGTGCAGCAACAATACTGAATCATGGCTACCAGCCAGCAAGCAGCCAACACTGGATTATAGCTAAAGTTTAATTTCCTTTATAGCATTTTAATGTGTCTCCCTGATTTATTGCTGTCCTCAAGGAAGCAGACAGCACACAGGCCTGGATATCCCCTTTAATAATTATCCCATCAATACTCATCTTTCACAAATGGGCTAATTTAATGTGAGAAATCACTAAGTAGACCTCTCCTCCTCCTGCAGTCAATGACAGGCTGCAAATCAGTCCTGTAGGGCCCATCATTAAAATTAATCTGTTTGCCTGTAACCCTACAGACTAGGCTCAGGAGAAAGGCTGGGAAAAGCCAGTCGTTATTAAATGCACGTTAGTTTTAATGGAAGTCCCTTGGAAACTGCCAGCTCCAGATTCCTCGCAGCCTTGCCTGATCATTAAACTACTTAACCATCATCTGGCACAGCGAGAACCGGCTGGAAAGCCAGCCACTCAGCCATGTCCAGAAAATGTCACAAGCTCCTAAACCCTTGTATCATTCATGGCCAGGACCAGCTTGGCAGAACTTATCTGCAGCCAGCACTTAGGTGAATGGCAGTGATGCTTTCTACAGATTGTATGGACAAATGAAACCCCTGCAGGAAGTGATTCACAGGCAGGTTCTAGGACAGAGCAGGGTCAGTCAAGGCGGTTCTCCTCCGGGTCATGCCTTGCGCTAGACACTGCTTAGCTGGTCTGAGCCAGAACCTTGGTATGATTACGGTGGATCCAGACCCCAAACTCATCTGCTTTAAGATTATTCCCCTCTCCTCTTGCAATTTTTGTCCTTTCTCCCACTTCAATTCCATTTTGCTAATTTCTGCCCAAGCATCCAGTTCTTATGGGCTCCTCATGCCCAAGCCCTCTCATCAAGGACACAGAAAGGCAAGAAAGTGTGCATCCAAAACACTACAAACAAATATAAGCCAGCTGACAGCCGGTGGGAAATGAAGGCCCTAGTGTGTCCTGATCTGCCTCCTCCTCTGTGCCTCAGTTTCTTCATCTTTAAAATGGGGATAATGATTGATACTGACACCCTTGCAAAGCACTCAGACATAATGATGAGCGCTAGCTATTACTTAGTGATAGAAATGTAGCCGTGTTAGTCACCTCTAATACTATTAACTCTCAGACATCTACCCTTCCCCACCTCTAATATCATTAACTCACAGGCATTCACCTTCCTTCCCCCCTCCCCCCCCCCTGCATCCCCCTTCTGTTCTGAAATGTGATTTGTCCTTTTCATATGTGTTCATTTTTTGTAATTGTATCCTTTGGAATATATGGTTGTGACTATTTTCTTCCACTATTTGATCTGAGGAAGTGGGTCTGGCCCACGAAAGCTCATCATCTAATAAACCATCTGGTTAGTCTTTAAAGTGCTACATTGTCCTGTATTTTGTTTCAGCTATTACTTAGTGACAGTACAGAGCCGCTGGCACAGGCAGCGGAGAGCAGGTACATAGAGCAGCAGTCAGAATGGCTACCATCATCCTGCCTCTCACTTTTCATTTCTCCTCCTCCTATGTGCTCACAGCACCTGTCAGCTGGCACCATTCTCCCACCTCGGTGGTTCCCAACCTTTTTTATACTGGGGACCAACAAACCCATTCACAAACTTTTGGCTGACTGGTAACATTTTATTTGCATATTCGCAATGTTACCAGTCCATCAAAAGCCCTGGTCCCCAGAGCAAACCTAGAGCCCCCCGCACTCCTCCACTATCCCCCAGGGTCAGCCACTGACCCCAGAGTCAACTGCACACAACCCTTCCATGCCAGCCTCCCACCCTCAGAGCCCCCATCCCAAATGCCTCAGTGCCAGCCCCCTGCCCCTTAAAGCCTCCCCCACCAGACCCCCCAGTGCCAACCTCCCATTTCCAGAGCCCCACTGCATCCAACCCCCCCATACTCCGCCAGTGCTAGTCCCCAGTATTGGCAGTTGGGAACTGCTGTCCAACCTAACGAATGGGCTTTCACTGCTCCTTTCAGATGGCCCTACAGGACCCACCAACATGCTGTTATTCATAACTACTCTTTTCCACAGGCGATCATCAGACACTTCCATGCAGTCCAGAAATGCCAGATACACCTGACCCAGGCCAACCCAGGAGCACACCAAAGGCAAGTGCATGAAGAACAGAAAACCGTATGAAGTTCTGATAGTTATGTAAAAGCAGCCACATTAGGAAGCGATTAGTAACTGAGGCATGTGGAGTACGGCTGACCCTCTAGCTTGGGATGGAGGTGGGGAGAGGTTGCTGTTTGTACATCTATTGCTGCTGTTCTTTCAAAAGGTTCTGAATATGCAAACATTTTCTTGCTCAGAAAGGTCCTACATTTTCAACCACAAAGTGCCGGAATGAATGTGATGGTAGAGCAAGGGGAGCAATAATTTTTGGTTGAGGGGGCACTCCCAAGAATTTGGAAAGTGGCCAAGGGCCACACGCTTCCATGATATGGAAGGGGGGTGTGGGATCTGGGATGGAGGTTGGTTGCAGAAGACAGTTGGGGTAAGGGACAAGATGCAGGAGAGGGTGTGGGATCTGGTGCAGGGGAGGATTCTGATCTGGTGGAAGGGTGCAGGGTCTGGGAGGGGGTTGTGACCTTGGGTAGGAGTGCAGGAAACCGGCCAGTGGGAGCTGAGAGATAGTGCTGGGGCAGAGGCAGCATGTGAAGCCTCTTCCTCCCACTCACAGCATTCAGAGAGCTGCTCTGAACAGCGTCTGGGAGTGGGACAGGCAGAGAGCCTGGCTGAGGCTCCTGCGGGCCAGATCCAGCGCCCAGCCCGTATTTTGCCAGCTTCTGTGATAGTGACGCTGTTTGTTCAAACCCCACACCAAGATGATCATCCCAGCAGCAGCTCTTCTTCCTGGATAGATGGGAACAGCCCTGCTTGTTTCCAAGTTGGCTTGAGCCGCAGCTGGGTCTTCCCCATCTCCACTAAATCCCCTGTGTCTCTGTTACCAGCTTTGAAAGCATTGCAAGTGAGCTGCACGCAGAGTGATTCACACCCTTCGCTAAACCCTAATCCCACCTTCTGCCACTCCCCTCTGGCATTTCCAACAAGCCAGGTAACGTACCTGCCCCTCCCTGCATCTGACAAGGGTAGAAGTGGCTGGGCCAGGCCAGGCACAGGAAGGGAGCAAGTGCTACACACATCCAAATGCTCTGCCTTTCACTCTCTGGTTCCATGCTTTCGCCTGGGACAGGATGTCTCGGAGTGTGGGGGAGTCACTGGGCCCTGCACCCCCATCCGCAGTCAGACCGCACAAAGTCTAGACTAGCTTACAGGGCAAAATTTGCATGTTTGATTTGAGTGCAGGATCTTGTTACTTCCCGCTGAAAGACCGACTGTGAAGGACTGAACTGCCACCTATTGCTGAGTGATCATCCTAAAAAAAGCCCGGTTCTGAGTCACAAAATGTACTCGCTCACTTATTTGACAAGTTTAGTTTTAATTAATGATGTTCTAGCAAACAAACTGATGTAATGAGGGCTCAGTAACTCAAAGCACTAGTTCACCTTTGCTCAGAAGTAGGGATGTTAAATTTAGATTAATTGGCTAACTGAATAGTCGATGTGATTTGCATCAACTATTCGATTAGTCAATAAGGGCACCTCCCCCTTTGAAACACAGCAACAGCCCCAGGGCTGCTGTTACACTTCAAAGGCGAAATCGCTGAGGGGACCACGGGGCCAGGGGGGACTCTAGCAGTCCCCCACCGGCCCCACGCTCCTCACGGCGTTTCAAAGCAGCAGCGCTGCACGGAGCCCCGGGTCACTGACCCTGGGCTGCAGGAGGCGTTTCAAAGTGGCAGACCTCAGGCTCCACGCAGTGCTGCTACTTTGAAGCACCCCTTTCTTCCCACCCCCCCACTGCCTCTTTCTGATAGTGGCAGCAAGGCACAGGGGGAGAAGGGTGGAGGGAGGGAGCGACTAGTTGACTAAAGTGTAGACTATCGGATAAGCATTTGCGTACTGGATAGTCGACTAATCCTTCACAACCCTACTCAGAAGCAGAGATGGCATGCGCTTGTGTGGGTGAATTATGGAAGTATGGATTAGTGAAATGTAAATGAGTCTGGTGCCATGGCAGATGAGTCTGGTGCCATGGCAGATCATTGGATTGAAATTAAATGCACATAACACCTCACTAGCACTGAGTGCAAAGAATTTGTTTTTCTCCCACTACATGGCATCACTCACCGTATCTCCTTCTACTACTTCTCCCTTCTGATTTTTAATCACCATAACAAGTTGAGCCTGGAAAGTGATAATTAATACAGGTCCCTGCTCCATCATCTTCCCCATAGCAAGCTGCAACAAAAGAAAAAAAATTATAAAGCGGAGATAACTTTCTGCATCAGGAGAATTTAATGCGACCACTATGACTTTGTACAGTAAATCACTAGCCTGTAATCCCTTTCAAAGCCAACTGTCTACTATAATGAATTATACCAGTAGCGCCAGTACAATTGTTCAAGTTAATGGTGCAAAACATTTCGTCATTATAACCATCGCTTTTAAACACTTATACTACATCCTTGGGGAAAAAATCATCATTCTTGTTTGCCTGAGGGCTGACTATTTTAGAATATGTGAACAAGTTCTATTCAGCCATTTCTGAACTATTAGGGGATGATAAAGTCCTGCTCTTAAAAACTGCAGTGCACCTTTTACAGGGAAATGACTCAAATCCAGATGCATCTTTGACACTTCTCATTTTGTTACCTCAAAAACTCCCACTGGAGACCACCCACGATTACACTAGTATTGATTTATTTGATTGAGGAATTAACACTCCACTATATGGTGAAACAGAACTACCACTAAAGGTTTAAACTAAAGGGGAACCAGCCATTTCTCACTCTCACCCTCTCTCTCACACGTACCCCTTCATTCATTCACACACATTCATTCCTGCCCTCAGGCACTCACACACTTACACAGGCATATGGGTTGCAGAAGGAGCCAAGGCATGTTGGTTCTGGAGGGTCTGTCTGCTGATCATGGCTGGGAAGCTGGTCAAGAAACAAAGAGAGCTTCTGGCTGCAGGAAGAGGAACTTCTCAGAAAAAGGGTTTCTGCCACATGCTCTCTCCTTTTACTGCCTCTATACAACTCCTGTGACTCATCCACATTCATCACCAGGGAGCATGCCCAGACTTCCCTTGATCCAGCAGAGCAGCAAGGTCTCCTTGATTGGTCTGATAATTCATCACCTAGCTCCACGTGCTCAGCCTTGCAGTTTCTAATCCCAAACACTCAATAGTCTCCACTCACATACACACACACACACACACACACATTCCTATCCCAGGGGAGAATGCAGTTTAGAGCAAATTACAAGCAAAGTAGCTGAGAGTTACAAAGTTGCGAGGTTTAACAAAGATGACAAGGAGTTGCAGCGTTTAACCGGCAATGGAGCTGAAACAATTACAAAGCCTCGGAGAATCATTTACAAATCATCAGTAATGAAGTGATTTAGAAGACAACTGCCCGTGCCCCAGCAATGCAGTGGGCAGGAGGTTTTTGTCCGTCTCTCAGTCATGTGTTGGCAGGGCCTTGCAGCTTAGTGTCTTTCCAGAAAGGCCAGGTGTGCCCACTCTCTCTCAGGGGAGAATGCAGTTTAGAGAAAGTTACAAGCAGAGTGGCTGGAAGTTACAAAGATGACAAGGTTGCAAAGCTCAACAATCACCAAGTTTACAGTCAGTTTCTGAATTTAAAGCAAAGTTGCTGAGAGTTACAAAGTTGCGAGGTTTAACAAAGATGACAAGGAGTTGCAGAGTTTAAAAGGCAATGCAGCTTCAGAGAATCATTTACAAATCATCAGTAATTAAGTGATTTAGAAGACAACTACTCCCGCCCTAATAATGCAGTCAGCAGGTTTTTGTCCGTCTCTAAATCATGTGTTGGCAGGACCTTACAGTTTAATGTATTTCCAGAAAATCCATGTGTAAAATCAAGTAATAGCTCGGGCGGAGGCTTTTATGCAACACACGTAGCCAGTGAATAGCCCCTAATGAGAAAAATCCCAACGTACTGGGTAAAGCAGTTTGTTGTCGCTCACAAAAGCTGATACTCTAATACAGGGTCGGGGGCTGCTAACTCACCGAGATCTCAATCAGGGGCCAGGCAAAAGTGAGAAGCAGTGAAGGGACTCGGGGGTTCCCTTCCTTCACACTCCAGGGATGGGTTTCCCCCTTCCCTCCCCGGTCCCTGCCTGCCTC